AGAGAGAGAGAGAGAGAGAGAGAGAGAGAGAGAGAGAGAGAGAGAGAGAGAGAGAGAGAGAGAGAGAGAGGAGGGTTACAAAAGAAGAAACAGAGTTACCTGCGTGTTGTGAATGTTGGGGGCAGACATAGCCGCCGAGCTTGAGAGGCCTGTGTGCATCATTTCAAGTTGCAAACAAGTTCCAAGTGTGCTCATATTTGTGTGAATCTTGCTGCTTTGAGGTGGATCTTGAGTGTGATGCAGCATACATAAAGCTCGAAGCAATAAAGGCGGGAGAGCAGGACCTTTTCAAGAATGATATGAAAAAGAAAAGATCTGCCAGTTCTTCTTTCTATGCTTATGCTTTGACAGGTCTATCTCTTTACGACAACTGTAACATAAGTAAGCTCTTGTGGATGATAGATAAATTAATCAATAAATTAACAATAATATTAAATATGATTAGAATATCCATTTCTCATGATTCATGCACAATAGTGACCTTCGCAAGAACAATAGCGGGCCCGTTTACCGGCTTCACAATCACAATTGACACATCAAGGTTTATACTGTATAGATTGAGTCACATATTATTATATAGATTCATGTGTATCCTATCTAGATTGATGTCTATGCTGTCTTACAGTATACATTCAGGTGTATAGTATCTAGATACAGGTCTATGGTAACTTCATAGTGTATTGCAGTTGTATTACTTGGAAGCGGATGGATGGTTGCCATCCATTCATCACTTGACGTCTTGAAGCATTTTTTCGGCATACTGTCAGTCAAACCATGATCATCAATCAATAGCAGCAAGTGGTAACCACAGTCACACCATCGTCAAATGGCCAGTACACGGCCCCAGCCTTGCTGAAAAAGAAACTCATCACGTACAAAAATTTTGGAGGCTCGGCCTACAGGACCACAATGGCTGGCGGCACCAGCCATAAAAGAAAAAAGTGTGCCACTGATGGTTCGGAAAAAAGCTTGGCGCGCAGTAACGCATCGGCAGGACCGGGTGTACTGGTGGTTTAAATGAGCAGATGGATTTCTAAAAAGAAATTGCACGACTTCTCATTGTAATGTGTTGTACAAGTGAGTAAAGATGGTGGGAGGTGCATGTGAGCTGCCATCACTAAACCCTAAACCCTAAACTCAACCGCATAACTTCTAGGCTTCTAGCTATCAGTGACTGAAATAAGTGTCTAAAGATGGGGGTAGTTGTGTGTGAGTTCTTGACCCTCAACCATCTTACCTCTAAACCCTAAATCTGGAACCCTGGACCTAACCGCTCAACCCTTATCTGGAAATCCTAAACTATAAACCCTAAACCCCAAACCCTAAACCCTAAACACTGAACCCTAAACCCTAATCCATAATATCATTCCTACCCCTAAATCCTAAACTCGAAACCCTAAATTTTTGGCGGCAATCACTTTTCCACTGGGTTTTCCACCCTCCCTGATAATAATTCATATGTGTATGAGTTCAACCCTCAGCCCTCAACCCTCAAATTAATGTCCTAAACCTGTGGCTGCAATCACTTTGCCGTTATGTTTCCTCTTTATCTCATGATAGCTCATCTATGACCTAAACCCTAACCCCTAACCCCTAAACCCTAACCCTCAACCCTCAACCCTCAACCCTCAACCGGCATACCTAAACCCTCAACCCTCAACCCTCAAACCTAAACCCTAAACCCTAAACCCATGTTAGCAATCACTTCGCTGTCACGTTTTCCACTGTGTCTCATGATTGGTCATCTGTGTTTGACTTCCTTGCCAACGTGTGCTGATTGGCGCAAGGACGTCTTTTGCAATGAATATAGCGTGGAGTTCGATGGAATTGTGTGCATATATAGTTATAGGCGGCCGAAGGCCGAAACCATTTCTTGTGAATGCACTATGAGCTTAGGATCAATTTTAAAAGCGGTGTTGTTGTTTGTTCACCTGCAGGCACTATCATATATCAGCCCAAAAGCAGTCCTCAATGAAATGTTCGGGTTTATTCGGCCGTCGATGACTGGGGTTGCTGGTATGTCCCTGTATTTCTCCAAAGATGCATCAATGGAGCTAAACACAACGTTGATGTCCGTCTCTCATCACATATCTTCACGACTTCACTCTTGCCATGATTCTTATGCTCGTGAAAATGTCTTGTGTTGTGTTCCGCAGTCGCATCGAACATCACATACCTTCACAGATAATAGAAGAATGAAGAATGAAACAGCAATAGGCAGTCATACACATTCTTGTCATTGGTACATTATTGTGAAGCTAATTGTTACTCCTCCTCCTCCTCTTCCTCCCTATTATCTATCACTCCCTCACCTCCTCCTCCTCTTCCTCCTCCTCTTCCTTCTCCCTCTTCCTCTTTCTCCTCCTCTTCCTCCTCCTCTTTCTCCTCCTCTTCCGCCTCCTCTTCCTCCTCTTCCTCCTCTTCCTCCTCTTCCTCCTCTTCCTCCTCTCTCTTCCTCCTCCTCCTCTTCCTCCTCTCTCTTCCTCGCCTTCCTCCTCTTCCTCATACGTTCCTCCTCTTCCATGTACACTCAGTTATCTCCTTAACTTCTTGTGGAAGCTTTTGCTTTCTAAACGTGACCTTATTCCTTTGTCATACTCCTCCCTCTTTCTCCCAAGTCTGATCAGAGGGGCCAGTGGAGCACCCATCTGAAAATAACGAGTCTAGTACCAACTGCGGTTTTTTCTCTTTTTCTTTTTTTTTCAAAAGAACCTAGTTTAGGAGGCTTAGTCCAGAGGTCCCGAACTCTTTATTGCATCTTGTTGCTAGAAGTTGAACACAGCGGGCGATTGCAGCCAGATTCATAGAGTCTGACCATAGAAGATGTACCAAATGGCATCATGATCTTCTCGTGTCCTTTTCTGAAGTCACAATATGTGCCGGTGTACCTAACTTGTGGCCAAAGCCGCCAAACGGTATGCTATCCGGACTTACGGAACCCGAGGTGAAGAGCTTTTTCTTCTTCTTCTTCTTCTTCTTCTGTTTTGTTCCAAACGGAGGTGAGGAGTTTGAATTCCCTTGGATATAATACTTTTAGGGACTACTGCTGATGAAAACCGAAAAAGAAAAAACAGGCAGCTGGGCCAGATGTTCACGAGGAGACATGGGATTTCGATGGTGGTCCAGCAAGACCATTCAGACAGCTATGGGTTCAGGTCTGTGCGCAGGGCTGGGGGTCCAAGTGTGGGTGCATGTCTGGGTCCAGGTCTGGGTCCGGGTCTGTGTGCAGCAGGTCTTGGGAACCCAAGAGTGGGTCCAGGTCTGGAAAAACGTTCCAAACAGGCCTGTCCATGTCTTTCTGGCAAAATCAGACCGCTCGATTTTCAGATGGTCAGCTGGACCCATCCTGACGCTAGAAATGTAGGCGAACAACCAGCCCTGCCACCTAGAAACAAAAACAAAAGAAGTTGAAACCTATGTTGGGTCGTCGCCCGGCCCGGCACGCCCGGCCAGGCACGCCCGGGCCAGTTGGGCAGAGGGGGGGTCGCCCGGCAAAACCAGACGAGTCAAGAAAGAGGCAAGGATCCCAAAAAAAAAAAAAAAAACTTCAGGCCAGGACTGCGCTTGGCCCAAGCAGTCAGAATCCGGCCTTAACTTCGGTTTCGGTGATGGGTCATCTGGGGGGGGTTGGGGGGTATAAACAGTGACTAAAGGGCTTAAAAGGGTACATTTGGAGTCTTTTGGGACTCATGTTTTCTCATTTAGTTTTTATCTTGAAATTAACAAGGAATTTCGAGGTGGCCCTCAGCCAAAAGTCGTTTGTATTGCAATTTTACACAACATTTTTTTTTTTCGGATTTTTTTAATTTTTTTTTCTATTTTTTAGAATATTATGCGCTGGGATCGCCCGAGACCCTGCCCGGGCCCTGCCCAGTCCGGGCCGCCCGGGAGGGTACCCGGGCGATCTTCCCCCAGCCGGGCCAGCCGGGGACTAACACAGGTTGAAACGACAAAACAAAACAAATGGAAAATTCAAAATTCTGAAACAAAAAAAAGGAAAAACAAACAAACACGTGCTGGAGTCTCTGGAGGTCATGGTTAACCGCAGCATAGCCTCTTTAAACAGCCTCCCCTTTTAAATTGATTGATTAAATGAATTTACAATTTAAATCATTAGACATGAATTTTATCACTTTTCTAATTCTTCTTATCCTTGGTGGTTGTGACACTGTTTCTTGGGTCATTGATGCAGTCGCTGGAGAGGACCGCGTAGGGAGGTTCCGAGGCTTCCTCAAGGACTTGGAAAAAAGGTTGGTCTGTGTACACTGACACCCTTGTTCTACCACTGAAGGGTTTTCCAAATGCTGGGGAAGGGCTTGGGGGAGCAGGGGGACCTGCAGGCAATAGGGGGGAGGCCCATTTGGGTACACATAATGCTTGTGATATTGCTAGTGTTTGTGCAATCAATTAATTAATGGGATTTAAAACTTTAAAATTTAAATGCCATCATCAATTATGTTGTCGTCCATTTGGTGGTGATCTTGTATCCAATTGTACGGCGTCTTGTGCCATATTTCTTGATGGTGTGTGTGTGACAGAGAAAATGTTGTGCAGTCCTGCATTTTGCTTTTTTTAAGTTTTTTTTTTTGTTTTTCACAAAGAACATGCCTAGAGCAGGATAGTAGTCGCGGGTTTAGGGATTAAGGGTTTAAGGGATTTTCAGAGAGGGTAGAGAAATTTCGGGCAGGGGACAGGGTGGCTCTCAGGTAAGGATGGATAAAAGGAAGTACAAGGGACAGACAAGACAACCGGGCAAACTTTTTCGAGGAATATAGAACTATCTGACAGACCTAGCCACCAGGTCTGAGAGGAGAGAGGGTGTCATGGCAAGCTGACAGTCGATCCTCCGTCAAGACGGAGTAATCAATGCTGCTCAGAGGTCCTTCGGCCAGACGGAAGGAAGTGTCAGTGTGTCTTAATTGTTGTGTATAATTCCGACTTGCCGGTGGAATAGGAACCGGACTGACGCTCCCCAGAATAGAAGGAGCCAGGACCATGATTAAAAAAAAAAAAAAAAAAAAAAAAGAACTCACGCCATTCTGTTCATGGGACGTATGCCGAAGCGCTACAGAATTATTATGAAGCTATGAGATTAGAAATTGATCCTTATGCCCGGCGTTAAATACTCTACAACATAGGACTGATACATACTAGTAATGGAGAACATGCAAAAGCATTGGAATGTTATTTTCAAGCTCTTGAAAGAAATCCATCCTTGCCACAAGCTCTCTCTCTCTCTCTCTCTCTCTCTCTCTCTCTATATATATATATATATATATATATATCTATCTATCTATCTATCTATCTATCTATCTATCTCTATCTATCTATCTATCTATCTATCTATCTATCTATCTATCTATCTATCTATCTATCTATCTATCTCTATCTATGTGTGTGTGTG